TAAAGTTAACTACCAACTAACTAAGTAAGAACAAGTAACTTAGTAAGGTAACGTTCGTTTACTTAATTTAAGTTGTTAGTTGTTCGTTAGTGTAGTATAACTTTATTGTAAATATAAGGGTATTTATATATTCTATTACTTTATAAATGTGGTTAACTCCTTTTTTTTTCAATGACTAGAGGCTCTAATGAGGAGCTAGGATATTTATTGTTAGTTTTTATACTTTTGGTTTTAAAACTAATGGATGACATTACTTGTCTTTCTAAGAAGAAGAATGAGAATCAGGTCCTGGCTCTTGTCACTACGTACAGTCCTTTTCAGAATATACCAGAGTACAGCTGAAGATTAGCAACTGAAATGTAGGACATGAAATAATTGGTAATCGTTATCTAATAATAAAATATATTAGAAATTAATTACAAATTACACTTAGTTGATAATAGAGATTAACAACCATGAAAACTCTTGAAATCTGACTGGCACAACTTTGCCATAAATATATAACTGTACTAACCATATCAAATATTACATATATTTATTTTAAAAGGTACCATTTTCAGGGTATGTTGGTTTGGGTTAGTTGTTTCTTTATTATATTATTTTTTAAGTGATATAAATCTAGCTATTCCTTTTCAGCATTTTACTGCAACTACAGACACAAATATTTATTCAAAGTTCTATTTATCTTTCAGGTCACACTATGCTTAGAGCTGACCAATCTTAATTTTTTCTAGTGATAGAATACCACTTGATTGAAAAGAGTTCATTGGTAAGTTGTTCTTTAATGATTTTTTTTCATGATTTAGTCTTTCACTATGATTTTGTTTTTGTTTGCCAGTCTCATATTTTCAAACCTACATTGTTAATGTATAATTCAATGATGTTACTGTAATTTTAGAGAAAGAAATCTTAAAATAACATCAGACTATATATATGGGGTTACATACAAATAATATCAAATCTTATATTGCAAGATAATGTCAGTGAAATGCAGTTTATTGGATGCATTGCATTATAATTGTTATTCTGTGTAGACATAAGGTGTAAGATGTAATCATGCCCCAGCTCAAAAGCTTCAAAAAAGAAGGAATTTTTTACTTTATTTTTCTATTTTCCACATACATGTGCAATGAATTTTTGAAGTAAGAAATGTAAACATTGTAATTAATATATGTTTCAAAATGGTTGTTCAGAAGTCAAAGCAAAAGAATATGCATGTTGTGGTGACTTCGTTTTGTTCTCCTTTGTCTTTCACTTAAGTTTAGCTCCAATACAAATGCACTGCAAGTTTATTGAACATTAGATCAAAAGCATGCAATGAAACTTAGTATATTTTCAAAGATACTTAGCAATGTAATTATCATTATCATTTGTTCAAGCTGTATAGAAAAAGTATATACATGTAACATCACATTTTTTTAGCAGCTTTTACATAACTAATAACACTTATTCAACATTAATTCTTTTATATGATATTTGGCATGGTTATATGAGATACAACTAGTGCATCATATTTGAACTCTTGAAGATTATGACACAAGTATTTCAGAATGGAAAACTCCTTATTCGTAGGATTCTTCTTGACTTCAAGATAATAGATCTGTTTTGCTGCTGTAGTATATGAATATACAGTGGGTGTTTATCATATAGTGTTATAATCTTTATTCTGAATTCATTCTTTGTTTTGAATCTTTTCAGGTTTCATGTAAAATGTGGTCAGCAAAGTTGTTAAGTTGATCTTCTTTCAAGCTTTGCTTTTTTGATATTCTCAAGATCCCTTAAATCGTGACCATTGCTAATTGCAACCTTGGGTAAGAATTTTGTAAAACATACCCTTCAGTGATTGTTTAGTTAATACCTAGAGGTTAAGACCTGAAGTATGTATTCTGAGAATGACTTGTCACATGATAGCATCAGTTGAACTGTATAAATAAGGGTTTCTTCAAAGCAAAGTGAGCCATACAAAATGAACTTGGCTTAAGTAAAGTAAGGTAAATGTATGAAAACTTGTATTCAGCAGTCCCACTAAGTCCTTAGTTTGATGAATGGGTTCAATCAATTTATATTTTGAATGTTTTGTTAAATATCGTTCAATTTGTTTATGATTATGACTTTTTGTCCAGTCTTGTTCTTTCATTTAGCATTGTTAAAGTATTTTTAGTATTAATCCATAATTCTGAAATCATTATTCTTCTCTTTACACAGAACAACTTATTTTCCTTATGAGTTCCCATGATCTGCCAAAGAAATTTGCAAACCACCTGCCTTGTAAAAGCTCATACGTAATATCATGTGAACTTACCCCACTGTAAGATGGTGTAATCCTGCAACAGAACCTTCCACCAATAGGAGTGTGACACAACTCCATGTGTAACAACTTCCTATACATTCTTGCTTGTGAATCCTTATTTTTCAACTCAGCACTGTCGAGAACAGACATGTTTAAGTTTGCTGAGATTTGCCTCTTTTTTATTTTTAACTTTCACTTGATTGAGTTTAGATATACTCAGTATGAATTCACTTGAGTAGAACCCCCAGTGGCACGTGGTATGTCTGCGGACTTATACTGCTAGAAACCAAGTTTCTATACCAGTGTTGAGCAGAGCACAAATAGTTCTTTGTGTGGGTTTTTGCATAATAACAAACAACAACACTTGAGTAGAACAAATGTTATCTCCAGAGAATGACAAAAGGCACCTAAAACGAAATCAACTTGAACAAGGTTCACTATGTATTTTATCTGGGAAGATATATTTAGTTTATTTTCCATAAATTTTATCCAGTAACAGCAATATGTAGAAATCAATACTTCATTATTTCACTAGGTGATTTACCTCATATGCATTTGACATTCTTGGTATGTAAGAAAAGTTTAGAAAAAGATTACTTCTATGACCTCAATGATATTGTCACAGGGTAGGATACAAAACCTCATTCCATAACACTTATAATTATCTTATAACCATTTATGAATTGTATGTTCGTGAATGGACTTCTGGATCGCCCTTTATATTGTTGCATCTGCAAGGTCAAGTGACTAGTATCACGCCACATCCTTCTCGAACCTTCGTGAATTGTCGGGAGACTACTAGATTGGAGTAGTCTTGTATATATAAAACGATCACAAAGTGACGGCAACAATATGTGTGTAATTGAACTGCGGAGGTAATGAGTAAGAATATTGTTGAGCACGTTGAGAAGTTCGTTGTGAGTTATAGCGTTTGTTATAGAGCGACTGTTGAAATTAAGTGTATCGTAAAGTTGTATTCGGAAAGAATAACCCAGTTTTATTTAAGAAAGGACTTGTGTCGCTAAAGTTTCGTCGGAACGAATTTACGGAAAATTAACTAACGAACGGAGACGTAACAATATATTTCATTTTGTAGCTTTTCCAAATAACACTTCATAAACCAAAGCATACTGTTTAGTTGTTTGTTTTAGCGCAAGGTTTACAATTGGCTATCTACTCTCTGTCATCCGCGGAGAATCAAATAGATATATTGGATTAGACAGGAACTTATCATATCTCCGTGATAATGGATAAATGTCTTCATCGAATCAACTAAATAGATGTTCGTATATTTTTTCTTGTACTTAAAGATCGATGTTGTAGTTTTAATTGTTAAAAAGTGTCTTACTAAGAATTGCAATTTGTTTGTAGTTAAGCATAAAGCTACAACATGAATTATCTGTGCTTTGCCTGCCGCGGGTATCGAAACCCCATTTTTAGCGTTATAAGCCTTCAGACATACCGCTGAATCACCGATTTGGGAGGAATGGCGAGCAGTTCCGGGTTCTAATCCTGCAGCAGGTCGTGAACCATGAATTATAGGATTCATAATGCAGGTACACTAACCGTTAAGCCCGGCCCTTGAGTAGATTATTTGAAGTCAAAGTTAATTACGTTGCAAAGAGTATGCTATAAGATAACGCTTCAGTCGTCACTAGCACGAAAGGCATACCTACATTTCTTATCAATGGTTTATTGCAACATTTGAAAATGTTTATGCCTAATACAGTAATACCTTATCCTAAGAGGTAGCATGAATACAAATTACTGTGACCAATAAATCAGTTAATAGATGATCGATGCAATAAATGTGTTAATACCCTAGCGTTTATACAGTACGTAAAATTAATATATTTATCCATAATTTATTTTTCATCTGTCTTATTCAATATAGTGAAGTATGCACTGGAATTACGTTTGTTTTATATTTTATTCTGCTTACAAACACAGTCTATTAGTCTTAACTTCGAGCCTTGAATTTAGTTGCGATTCTAGGAATGATTAAGTGTTATTTATGTTAAACATGTTATACTTATATATTGATTTAATTCCACATAAATTACATTTGCAGAGTTATGTTGATTGTCTCCCCGTTTGTTTTTAACTGGATAACATTAACCTCGTGTTTTTTTTTTAGATAATTAATTAATTATACTACTTGTACTTCAGAAAAATAGCAATAATTGTCTGAAAAACCTGTTCACCATACCGTTATGTGGGAGCAGAATTCAAGATAAAATATACTTATCGAAGAAGTCTTTAGCAAAGAAAACGTGAGATCGTGACAAGAGTTTCATCGCGAACATGTGTGATATAACAGTCTTTGTAACACTCTGTTAGCTTTTCATCACAGTTCTGGTAAAACATCTGTCCCTCGACCTTACACAACAGCTTGCATAGGTAGATAACAGCGACACAATGTGACTTTTAGGCTAACTCAAAAAGTGAAACCCTTTTGTTATAGATTTTTTGTTAACCCTTCCCACCCTCACCAACAAAATAGACTTAGTCCAGCAGCTCGAGGGCTGCGTATCATGCTGCGGTTCGTAGCTCGTGGACCATCAAGCACGCATTTTGTGTGTGTTATTATGTGCGATCATGCTGGAAAAGTTGGCAGTTCCTGCAACTAAAGACACAAATAAATAGTTATGAATTAAGCCTAGTCGAAGGCCTGCATGGAGTTGTTATATTTTCATGATGTATTTGAGCCTAAAGGTAAGATCTTTGCGAGTTATATAATGAGTGATTTTAAAATAATCTTTCTCAGTGTTACACTAATAGTAAAAATAGAATTATATTAGTATTAACGCAGTATTAAGTGGAATTTTTGTGTTTTGTAATATTTCTGGTGTTTGAAATGAAATGAATATCCCAACCTTACAAAGTTAGATTTAACTTTAAGAATACAGAGCTTAGCAACGTGTTAGTTTAGCGAAATATTATATTTTTCCCATACAATAAAACCGTATTGAAAATAATTGGTTGAAATATTACGCGAATGACTAAAATAATTAACAAATAATATTCATAAGAAAGACTTAATCGTACAATATATCATTATTTTTTACCACCACCAACTTTCGTAAACAGGAAATAGATTGGTTAATAAATTTTATCGGACATTTCGTGGAAAATGGTGTTTAATTTTTAAAATTGTTAAGTATTAAGTAAGCCGCTGTGTACTATTAGACTTAAGTGGGTAATATTTATTAAGCTGATTATTCACGTGAAACAGATATTAATATTTTATGACTTTAATTACTATATTGTTACAACTACAAAGTTAAGTAAAAGTGTATATAGTTGTATTTAAAATGTTTTGTTTATAGCTGCAGTCGTTATGAATTGTTATGAATCAGTTTACATTTTTATGTTATTGTAATTTGAAACTAAGATTCAATAGTTTGTGTAATATATATTTGCCTAAACTTGTTTTAAAAAAAGTTGACAAGCGACATCAAAATACGCTAAATGCACACAGAGACCTGTTTATGTCCAGCAGCGTTGTATTCAAAACGTTACGATGATAAAACTAAAATAAAAATTCTGGATTGAAATATTGACAACGTTCTGGATTAGAAAGTTAAAAAGCACTAAACTTAAATTCACATGTGCTTGGATTGTTTATATAGCATTGGAATAGTGCAACCTCCAATGTCAAACTATTAATTATTACTTAAAAAACAAACAGTAAGTAAAAAAAATCAAGTGTGTTATCTTACTTGCAAGTTTATAACTCATGCAATTAAATTCACGTGATTACAAATTGCAAATGTGTATATATATATATATACTGTCACAGTTTCTTCTCAAAACGGATTCTAATTGAATAATTGGTGTGGATATCAATAATGCTGTTCTTGAATATATTATAAAGATTGCAAGTACTAAAGCTATATGTAATTAAAACATTTTAATTTCATTATTTGACGTTTAGCTTTTTTTTTAGAACAGCCGAGCTACCTAATAGGCCGTGTTTTTGTGTTTGTTCTGTTTTGAAATGTGTTAATACTGAGAATTTAAAAAGGGTAATAAAACAGGATGCCCTATATGTAAAAAAAGATTCAGATAGCTCTTTTTTTTTTATTCACATACTAAAGATTCTTTTCATCATCACTATCACGACAATAGGAAAATGTAAGTGACTGTATTATGTTCATTAATGTCTTTCTTATTTTAGATACTAATATATAACTGACTTCGGGAACCATATCATGTGCTTGGTTTTAAAACCAAAATGAAAATGGTGGACTTTTTAGAAACTGATTTATCTTGCAAGCAGCCTAGCATCAAAAAAAACTTTCAACAATATTTGATGCTGACTATGTAGACAATATATGTATTTACATATATCAAATCAAAGAAATACAGGCCTCTTATAACGGTGATTTGTATAAAATATTAATGGAGTTTTTTTTTTAATCCTTATCAATCGTCAATAAAGCAACCTAAAATAATTTAGGTATGTTAGAGCTCGTGCCTAAATCATTATTCGAATATCTTAATCACGAACTTTACTATCGAAAATAATGTTCAGAAAGTTTATTCACGATCAAAAGTCAAATGTTAGAAATTACATACACATTTATTAAGCTATTCATTTACATGAATACAATACAGTGGTGTGGATATGTATAACTATAGATATATCAATGTCTATTAGTCACAAAAATACAGATATAATTCGAAGTTTTATCTGGGATCACCTACGTTCAATTTGGGACATGATGATGGGTAAAACAAAATACGTGGCCTAGCTAGCTAATGAATGAATATTTGCTGTAAAATTCTTATCAATGCTATATGTGTAGCTACCAGTTTGGACGCCAATTTTGATTTCATTGCTTTAATTCGCACGCTCAATCCTTTTTTGGCCGCCCCTTTTTTTCACACCTAAGGAGTTTTTGATTAGATATCATGACTTTTTGTCAATACACCCCAACAAACCACAGAAAGTAATAAAGTGACACTCGAAATAGTAACCAACATTAGCTTTAGGATCGCAACCCTATTATTCAGAATAGGCATATACCTTACAGAACCAACCAGATTATTTACAATATAGGTAGTAGTTTTTCCTCTCTGAAACAATGTTAATAACTTCCTTTATAGTAACGCCATGGAATATACATTAACAGTTTCTTGTCATCACCCTCGTGCACTCGGTACAGCCGTATCAAGTAATATTATTTATGCTAATTGCTTAAACTGATATCACGTGACGCTAAACGCTCTTTAATTAGAATAATTTCATAAAACTTAGCAAATTTGTGCTTAAAAGTTGGCAATGAATAACGAATAATAACCTTCCACCTGTATGGTTCTTTTGAAAAC